GACTTTGCCTGAAGCCTGGACTTATAAGTCCCCTCCCCATCCCATGATCATGGCACGGTTGACGGCAATTTCTCCTTGGTCCTCAAATAATGCTATTATCATTTCGAAACATGGAAAATTCGAGTCTAATCTTTACGCGAGACGCTCACAGCGATGTCCACAACCGTGGCATGACGCTGTTCGCAGTGCAGCTGTCTTTCCTCATCGCGGCTGGCCTCTTTACACTCGCCAGAGCGTACGTCAAGGTACGGATCGTGAAGAGTGTTGGAGCAGATGACTACCTCATCTTCCTCGCAATGGTAAGTCTGGAGCTGTCTCGTTACCCCGTCAGCCACACTCACACAGACGACAGATCATGTACACAGTCTACGGCGCCGTCGCGCTCCACGGAGTCATCCAAGGCGCCACCGGAAAACACCTCACAGAGCTCACGGTTGAACAAGCTGCCATCTCTCTAAGGGCGTGGTACATCTGCGAAGTCATCTACTCGCCCATCACCCTCGCGATCCGAACGTCCATCTGCCTGCTTCTCCTCAGACTTGCTCTCAACAAGGTCCACCGATGGGTCATTTACGTTAACATGGCCATCGTCTTGCTCATTTCCATCGCCTACTTCTTCATCATGACGTTCCAGTGCAGCCCGCCCTCGTACTTTTGGAGACAGCTGTACGGTGAAAAGGGGAAATGCATCAACTACAACATCGTCCCCGATGCCACCATCGCGCACAGCATTATCTCGGCGGTTTCGGACTGGTGTATCGGGTTGTTACCGATAGCATTGCTGTGGAATGTCAATCTCAACCGCCGGACCAAGGCGTTGGTCGCCGTGCTTCTCAGCATGGGCATGGTGTAAGTAGATGTATCCACGACAGACATGTTCCTCTTCTAATGCCTTGTTAGTGCTGGTGTAGCTCTCATCATTCGGATTCCCTTCATCAGACGTCTCGCTATCTCCACGGACTTCCTGTATGAGACGATGTAAGTGCGCCCACCACCTCATCACATACACAATGCTGATATCCTGCCAATAGCGATATCGCGATCTGGACCGTACTGGAGCCCGCCCTCGGCATCATCGCTGCTTCAGTGACCAGCATGCGCCCCCTCTTCCAAGGCTGGGGCTTCGGGTGGAGCACAAACAGCAAACACTCCCGTCCTTCAGGACCCAGCTCTGGCCACCCCATCAACAAAGAGGCCGCCACTCCCCGGACGAAGGGGATCACCGACCACAGCGACTCCACTGCTCGCACGTACGACGACATCGAGAGGGCGCTTTCGCCTGAGGGCTCGGACATCGAGCTCAACAAGACCGCCCGGGAAGACAGGGGCAGCGACGAGCACGAGTACCCCGAGTCCAGGCCGTCGTCGGACCTCGGGCAGAGGTATCAGCACCGGGAGCCTCAGCCGTGGCCCAGACCGGTGATCAACGTCCGCACGACCATCGACATCACGTCGCACTCCATCGATCATGTGTTGCCGTCTACGACGTGCGTGTCTGATCACAGTAGCAGCGATGACGACGAGAGGCCGAGGAGAGAGGAGAAGATGGCGCATGATCAGCCGGTGCAGCGTACAAAGTTGGAGCAGTAGAGGAGTTTGGGATACCCATTTGCCAAGATGCTAGCGATTATAACTATAGATGAAGGGTCTGGAGTTTTGGGTGCCGGGGGATGGGAAATGTACATTGTGGGGATGTCACTCAGCCGGGTATTTTGACCAAGGCTTGTTTTCATTTGTTTTACGACTCATGACGAAGGTATGATAAGAAAAGAAGATTGTTCAACACGCGATTGGACATTGTATGTATGTAGTAGAAAGTTGAGAGGGAATGACATTCTGATCAGCATGACGAACCAACTTCGCTAGGGGTATGAAGCCTGGGTAATCCTTATTCAATCGCGAATAGCTGTACAGAAATATTCAGAAGTAGCGAGACAATAGTTTGTCATGTTGCCAAAGTCTAGTTGATCAAAATGAAGGTGAAGTCAGGTGTTGCGTGTTTGTATTAATCATCTCCGCCAATACCACCCTCGCATACACCCAAATTGCCAGCATCCTCCCTTGCTTCTGCTGAAAGGAAAGGAAGTCCCTCACAGAGGCTCAACTCATACTCACACATGGGGGATGTTGGGACACAAGGCAGTTAATGACCAGAGGCAGTCGACACATCAGATGTCTGAAAGTATATTAACACCTTGGAAACTTTCCCCGGCATAAATTTGACCCACAAAATCCTTCGGTGTTATCCTCTGTTTCGAGCGCAGAAGGCAGCAAGTTATGGATGGTATACTTGGTGCAAATTCGCCTAGTGAGGCTCTGAAAAGTCGGGCTCGTTGTGTATGAAGCGACAGTTGAGTTCGTCGTTGGACTTCACCCTCAATTTCATGTTATTCACAAGTGAATGCTTGGGAGACATGAGAAAGGTAAGAATATCGTCGGGTTGACTGAACTAGCCAGGCCAGTATCCTATTATCGAGTCTTCGCAACGCAATCAAAGCACCGAATACAACAAAGGACATTTTGCTGAGCCTCTGACCCATGGAGTCTGAGGTTCTATTTGTACAATGTGTCAAACCACCTGGAAAGATCCCTGATTCAATCGTTCCACGCTCGTTTCTACTTGTATAAATGACAGTGCCTTAGTGACTTCTCTTAGAAGAACGCACAATTTGGTAGCGGTAGCTACTGGAACAGAGAAATCATGCTTGGACATCTCTTCGGATTATCCCTTGCCATGTGGGATGCAGAGGTAATTTGTAAGGCTGTGCTTCATAAACTGCGGCGCTTCTCAGCCCTGAGCCACGAAAGTCGCCCGTATCCGTCGTCTTCAATGAAGTATTGTTGTCCGAGAGATCGAAGAATACGTAGAACGAAGCTATCATCATCGGCTGCCACATTTCAGCTTGTTCATTTGTCGACGTGTAATCCCCTTCTAGCGGAGAGGTCCCGAAGAACCACGAATATCCGACTTATGATCAATTTGGAAAGCCAATCTACCATAATTTGTTTTGTATCGTTTGTATGCCAGATAGTCGTAGCGCAAAATGCTTTACCTCAAGGCAAACCTTCGCGGGGATGAGCATCCCCAAGTCACTACCCAAACGTATATCTGATGGCGATGGGATACTCTTCCAGACACCAATGTCTGCCTTTGTCTTTTTTGACAATTTGGCCGGGTTGGTGAGCTTGAAATTGTGACGGAAGTGAAAGCTACTCAAAAGGTCGACTGACGCTAGATCCTGTCGAATAGACACATACATACACCTGCTTCGTCGTCAATATCCGCCGCTGTCCTCAGACGTTTCGTGCCTATTCTGGTCACTTCTGCTATCCAAACATCGTGGTCGCCGCGATTTACTCGATATGGGCTCATCTGCCGCAAATCGCTAGAAGTGTCGTCTATAAGAGTCACACGAGTCAAGCCTGGAATTACATTGCGGAGAAAGTCCAACCTATAGCCACTTTGTAATCTATGTCCGTTTTATAGAAAATTGTAGTAGCAGAGTAGGTACCGCTCTGGGCTACACACAACTGGGTAGGATGTCTAGAGACTTCAGCGCACTGTCATTCTGTTTGAACACATCTACTACTTAGCATGGTTTGTAATCCATTACTTGAGAGCGGCAATGATGTTGGTGGGAGCATTGTACCAGAAAATCTTGAAATGGCCCCATTTAGGCCTTAATTTAGTTATTTGCTGCTGTCGGCATATGGAGTTCTGCAGGTCGACGTCGTCCGCCAGTCTCCCTCCTCTTCTGATTATCATGAGGTGCTCGAGAATACGCCGGAAAGGTGGTGTTGATCTTTCACTGTCACTTTGCGGTAGATGTGTCTCCAGATAGCTGAGCTCCTAACGAGCAATCATGCTTCCAACGGTCTGTAGGAAGAGAATGAGCACGACGATTTTGACCAGGATAATTTCAGACAAAGACCATGAGCTCAAGTTGTTTTATATGTTAGATCAATCATAATTGGACGCTAGCGGCTTCACGCAAATGGGTCTTCATTGATCTTTACCATGCGTAAAGGAGCCCGGTGGAAATGACATTGATATCTTTCGCCTATCGTAGAAGCTGGGAATCCCACAGAAATTGTCCACCAGGTTTCCACAACGTGTTTGATGACAACAGACTGAAAGATGATGTTTTTGACCATCGTCTTCTATACGTAGAAGCCTAAGCTGATGATCCCCTTACCCAAGATGGCACTTTCTCGGGTGTTCCCGATGTATTCTTTCGTTGTGATAACGGACACCGAATATAGTAGATGGCCAACGGAAGATGATGGCCATCGCAAGATGAACCCCGTCTCACCCATGGAATAGCTGTGGCGTTGGTACACCAAGAAGCGGGAGCAGTCATGACCTTGGGGATGATGCAGGTAGATGGAATCCCCAAGTAACGAAACACAGAAAGAAGGAATAAAGAAAGAGGCTGAAGCCAGCTCGATCTTCGAAGACCGAGCCTACCATGCTCATAAGTTTGCGCTCTTAACCTCCACTTAGAGTAAACGCTAGGCAACGGCTGCTAACGGCCAGCCCACCATATCAGCCCTGCATGAGCTTGCAGGCGTTGCTGGCTGGATCATCAAGGTAGGTACGAGGCGTAACCTCCAGCAGCGCAGCCGAGATCTTCATTTCTTGGGTGAGCCTTATCTTTGGCCAAATTCTAGCCACGATAACGGCCAGAAGACTTCGCTTCCCCCAGTCAGACTACCAGACATCCTTCGTCGGCATGAAATCATATTAATTAAGTTCAACATATATACATGAGGGAACGCAACGTGCTTCGTCTGTCGTCCCCCCTTCATCGTGCTTCTCGTGTTCCTGGACCCGTGGCTGCATCGTATCATTAAGCCTCGTCTCGGTACCCCCATCCGTATTTTTGAGTTTCCATCATCAAGTCGTAAAGGTCTTTGGTATAGTACAATGGGCGTTGCGACATTCATCACAAAAGGAATCGTCGTTACGTGTCCCGGTCCCCTGGCCGCAGTTCATCCCATTACTGGGCGTGGGTGACAATGGCGGCGTATGTGTCGTCTGGTATTCTCTCAATGATCCAGAGCGTGCGCTCGATAATCTTGTCCGCCTGTAGCGAAGGGAACGAGCGCAAGAGCTTGTTAGGGCTGATCTTATGTTAGTGATCTGGTAATCCAACTTGCGTAGAGACGCTTACCTCGGCGAGCTCATCAGCTGGTCCCGCATACCCATGAGCTGGGCCACGATGCAGAGAATGTTCAGGTGAGGTCCGTAGGCGAAGAGAAAGTCCCACAGGCGCAAGACCTCGGGTAGCGGAGGTGTGCAGGCGCACAATGTTAGGACGGAAGGGAATGCGTAGATCTCAGCCGTTAAGCCCTTGGAGTGAAGGTATCCGCTCAACTTGGAGTCAACAGTCGCCAAGACCTTGTCCACCAGAGCCAACCCCTTGTGGACGCCATCCATCGCACCTCGAATGTATCCGGGGCACTCCCGCGTAAGCAAGGTGTAGAACGCAGTAAACGCCTCGGCCTCACTGCGCGCAGCATATAAGAAGGGAGCTGCCAACACATTCATTCCTTGAACATACGTCCCCGGCTCGGCAGCGTGACAAGACTCGGAGCCCTCCGTCGTCAACGTCAAAGCTCGCGCGCGGTTGCGAGCGGAAGGTGAGGCCGGGTTTGTGGAATGCGCGGTGGCTGTCGACGTCGAGCTGTCGTGGGATATGGAGCTTCGTCCGGTGCTGGGTCGGCTGAGGGAGCGGTCGCGATCGCGACTTCGCTGCTGCTCGCGGGCGTCGTGCAGGCGCCAGGCGACGGCATTGAGGAGGCGGATGAGACTTGCCTCGCTGACGCGTCGGCGGAACAACGGGTCGGTGGTGAGGGTGCGGAAGGTATCGTTGCGGATCTTGGAGTATGCCGGGGACGCGCCGCGGGGGATGAGAGCAAGGTAGTCGTCGGTGGGGAGGACGGGAGTGTCAAGGAGGATGATCCAGANGCGGTGGATGAGAGCAAGGTAGTCGTCGGTGGGGAGGACGGGAGTGTCAAGGAGGATGATCAAGACGTAGATACGCAGCGTGGACTGTTCAATGGCGCATTAGGTTAAGAGGCACGTGAGGTAGGGGAGAAGCACATACCATGCCGTCACTGTCGCTTTTGATACCCTCGCTCAAGACCTTGCGACGGGCCATTCCCAATGCCTCGACGGTATCCCCTTCAATTGGACCGTCCTTGATGAGCTGGTGCAGAGACATGTTGAGGTACCGTGGGTTGATACCCATCATGCTGCGCTTCGTGGCAGCCATGGCGTTCAGGTGGTGATGGTTCGTCGCATCGCTGTTGGACCGTCCTCGCTGCGGTGATCTGTTCACGTTCATGGCGGAGGAGGAGCTCGCATCGCGTCGCGTGGGCGAGATGTTGCGCTGGGTCAGTCGCTGCTGCGCGATCAAGGAGGGCTGCAGGGGCGGGATTTGTTGGAGGGCGGCCTTGGAGCCAAGGTTGTGCGCCGACTGCAGTTTGCGCAGAGCGCGATGCGTCCGCGGCGAGGGGGGCGGGAGCAGCTCGGTGGTTTTCGCGTGTGACTGCACAAAGGCATGCGGCGCCGGGGGGCCGGTGAATGGATCTCTGGTCGGACTGGACGGCATGTTTGCGAATGGAAGGGGAATATGCGGAATAAGGTAAGGTTGATACCGTAGGCAGGGGTGGTTTTTGGCTACATTCACTCTAAGACTTGGGAATTACAACGAATTATACGGGAATATCCAGACGAAAAGTAGAGCCCTGGGGATAGAGAAAGATAATGCCCAGCAAAGAAAGGGGGCAATTGCAGTGTAGCGAGGTGAGGAACACCTCGTGGACTGCTATTTTTGGCCCAAGGGCGGGGTGAGGAGGTTGGTGATTGCAGTTTTTGGTGTTGCCGATGGAACAGGCACAGGCACAGGCGCGCAACGATGGTTGTGGTGTTGCTGATGTTTCCTTTCTGACTAAGGCGGCTCAGTTGCCCGGTGAGAGGAGGGGGCCGGAGGGGGGTAGGGGGNGGGGGGGGGGTTCGCGGTCGCTGTAGCGGCCGTGTTTTTACGCGTTGCCGTCCGGGGGTTTAGGGGCCTCGAGGCTTCAGCTCCCGCCTTCTGCGGCTCCTGAGTGGCCGATGCACTCAGCTCTCGCCCAACAAGGCAATCGAGGCAGTGAGCTTCAGGGCATCCAGCCTGCAAAGTTGAGCCTCCAGGTCGTGAAAGGCGATCACTTCCTGGCCGCGCGGAGACTTTACCTAACATGTCGCTTTCTTTTCTTTTCTTTCGGCAGTGCATCCAGACGACTAGTCGCCGAGTCAACAGTACCGGACGGTGGTGCGCCGGTGGCTGGTAATGCACGGTAAAGGGGTTCGACTGACCTGGATATCCCAAGCTTTTGGCCCTCGGGAATGCTTGGGAATTTGAGGGATGATGCGCCACATATTGAAGCCACAGTCCAGCACATCGCCACATAGATGGCTTACATAATTGAGGAGGTCTCCGGTCCGGAAAAACGATCCCGCGATATCTTAGTCATCAGCACGTGTCGCATGACTTTCGTCATGCGGCGTCGTGGGCGTCTTGGCAGTGTGGTACATGCGGACACCCATGACGTCTAATCATCCGCAACCACATCCGCCCGACGGAGCCCCGAGTCCAGCGTCGATTTGTAACGGATCCGAATTCCAGCCAAAGCTGACAGAGTCGTCGTTCAAGCTCCCATCCACAAACCCCATCACCTGGACCTGGGGGCCAGCCAGTCCCCTGTCTCTCCAGACTCTCATCCATCTGTCACTACGATGGCATGGCCCCCTCCAGTCGAGTCCAGCCAACGCCTGGCCAGTCTGATTCGCACGTCTAAAAGCCATTGGAACCATTGAGGCCCGTTTCTGTGCGAAGGCGTTCCGACCGTGTCGGCGTCTTTGGAGTTTAATTCCGACCAGGTCAGGGAACAGCCCGGTTGGCATCCATGGCAGGGAAAGCTTCGTACCGCACTTTGCCTCAATAGCAACAGTCCATCTCAAAAATGGGCCAACCAGGTTGAGCATCTCCGCACCCATCTGCTCCACAAGCCATCACCTCAAACAAGGGTGCTATTGCACCATCGCCGAGTTGCAGAAGCTGAACCTCATTGGTCAGATCGTCCAATCCCGCACCCGAAGCGGTAGTTCGCTGGAGACTCGACCCCTCTGTTGGAACACCTGTTGCACAACAGAATGCACATACCTCATCCGACCGTCAGCTCTGATTTTTCAACATCTCCATATTATCACCTCTGTCATCAAGGCACATTTCGCCCCGGCTCCATGACTGACGACACTCCAGGCATTGGCATTCTGCAAAATGTCCACCCGGGAATAGGGGTCCCGGATTTTCCTCCATGCGAGTTGTACGTACAAACAACTCTTTCGAGTAATCTGCATCCGCACTCTTTGTGGCACAACTTGGGTGCTCCCGTGGCTCGACCTTGCAGTCTCTTTGGCTGACCACGCGACGCATACCTCCGAGAGTGAGACCGCCTCGAGCGTCGCCCATTCCCCACGCGGGCATTCTTCCGTCTTTGGCGCCTAAAGAAAAAATCAATTGAGCGAGCATTCGCATTTGTGCTGCCTGTGTCATTCCAATATCAAATAACCAACAACGCGCGGGTACCTCCTCGCGTTGTGGGTATAAGATAATTGGACTCGCAGCATATCCCGTCCCCATCGGAGGCCCCGCTAAGCTTGGTCTGGCAAAGACTCGATGGCGACATCGCCCCGGTTTCGACATCGCGGGAGGAGTGCCCGTACAACCACCATAACAAAAGACTCTTCCGCTCCCTCCAACCTGTGCTTGGGACATTGTCGCCTGTTAAAGCCGCGCCATCATTCCCTGACAGTCGCATCCTGAGTGATTCGCCCACCCCCCGTCAGGGTTTTCTCGTTTCTCGCCGTCGTCTTCTCCTCGGCCTCTCTGCAGCATTTCATTTCTTGGCTGCCGCCGTCATCCCGGAGCCACATCTCTTGGCCCACGAGATCCATCGTCTTATCCAGCGGGAGAACCGTAGAGCCTCTTCTTGGCACTTGGCACCTCCACTACCGAAGTCTCTGAACTCAATTAATAACCTCGAGGCCCGTCCTCAACAACCTGTTGAAGAGCTTCGAAGAGCTTTGAAGAGCTTCCGTTCCAGTTGCACAACTTTACCGCCTCGCGCGCGCGCAACACCCTCCCGTCCTTCGACATTGACACCTGATCGTCACTGTTGTTCTAGACGGACACACCTTTCTTTTCAGCTGTGTGATTGCGAGCGCACCAGTTGGCCTTATCAGACGCCGTCAGATCACTACTGTCTGCCTGAGTCGGGGGGCGTTCACGAACTCGTCATTGAGTTGGGTCTCGACCAATTAATATCCCCTTGATTCGATTGCGCAACTTTGCAAGGGCTTTGTGGGAGGTGTCAATCTCGCACCTACTACCCCAAACCGCCACCTCCGTCGAGGTTCGAGGCCTGAAAGCGTTCTAGTCACCTCTTGCGACATTCAGCTCTCATATATCGCACCCTGGTTCAAATTCTTTTCACCCACCGCTCAGTCGGTTTATTCCGGGGCAGTTTGCAAGGGCCCAACTCGTGTGTGTGGCACGGTAGCCCCAGCGAGTCCTATATATCCTTGGGGGCGTCTTCCCTTGAGGGAGCGTCAGCAAGTACCTTCGGTCACTCGCTTCTTTAGCCGCCTGTCCGACCACTTCAACCCTCGCCAATTTTACCAACATGCCGGGCGCAGGCTCAAAGATCGGCCACGGCCTGGCCAAGGTCTTGGGCATCAAGCTCGACAGGCCCGAGAACGAGGAGATGCTTCGTGGAGAGTCTGTCTTCTCAGTTCAGTCGTCAGACACGTTCGTGGAGGAGGAGCCGACAACCGCAGAATGGTTCCTCGAACTCGTGCCCACGGGCGAAGAGGTTGTTCAGTACATCCGCTCCCTCTTTCCCTTCCTCACCTGGATTGGTCACTACAACCTGCAGTGGCTCATGGGTGATTTGGTTGCCGGTGTCACTGTTGGTGCTGTCGTCGTCCCTCAGGGCATGGCGTACGCGCTGCTGGCGAAGCTCGATCCCGAATTCGGTCTCTACTCATCCTTCATGGGTGTCATTCTCTACTGGTTCTTTGCTACATCCAAGGATATTACGATTGGCGTAGGTCCGCCCCTGAAGCAAAGTTTTGTGCGCTACTAACAGACCCCAGCCTGTCGCTGTCATGTCAACTGTCGTTGGTAACCTCATCACCGATGTTCAAGCCGACTTTCCCCAGTACGAAGGACATCAGATTGCATCGGCACTCGCTATCATCGCGGGCGCCATCATCCTGTTCATCGGTCTGATTCGCATGGGATGGATCGTCAACCTGATTTCTCTGACTTCGCTTTCCGCCTTCATGACTGGCTCGGCCATCAGCATCGCGGTCGGTCAGCTCACGACATTGCTGGGTATCAAGGGTGTCAACACTCGTGATGCTACTTACATGGTCCTCATCAACACCCTGAAGAACCTTCCCAAGACCAAGATGGATGCGGCAATGGGCCTGACTGCCTTGACCTGGCTGTACCTCCTCCGATACGTCTTCACCACCGCCGCGAAGAAATACCCTCAGAGATCGAAGCTGTTCTTCTTCCTGTCAACCTTGCGAACTGTCTTCGTCATCCTGCTCTACACCATGATCAGTTGGCTGGTCAACATGCACAGGCGCGACAACCCCATGTTCAAGATTCTTGGCGATGTTCCCAGAGGTTTGTTTTCAACACCTCTTGATTGATCCCGTAGCTAACTCTCTACAGGTTTCCAGGATGTCGGTACCCCCAAGATCGACACCGACCTGATCAGTGCCTTTTTGCCCTTCCTTCCCGCCAGTATCATCGTTCTTGTCATCGAGCACGTCGCCATCTCCAAGTCCTTCGGTCGTGTCAACAACTACACCATCAACCCCTCCCAGGAGTTCGTCGCCATCGGTGTTACGAACGTCATCGCTCCGTTCCTTGGCGGTTACCCCTCTACCGGATCCTTCAGCCGTACCGCCATCAAGTCCAAGGCTGGTGTCAGAACTCCCTTTGCCGGTGTTATCACAGGTCTCATCGTCTTGCTTGCTATCTACGCACTGACGGCCGTCTTCTTCTACATCTCCAGCGCCTCCCTGGCCGCAGTCATTATTCACGCCGTCGGAGACTTGATTACGCCCCCCAACACCGTTTACCAGTTCTGGCGTGTCTCTCCCTTCGAGGTCCTCATCTTCTTCGTCGGTGTCTTCGTGACCGTCTTCTCTTCCATTGAGAACGGCATCTACGCTACCGTCGTCATCTCCGCCGCCCTCCTCTTCTGGCGGATCCTCAGAGGCCAGGGCCGGTTCCTTGGCAAGGTCAAGATCCACTCCGTTATCGGCGACCATGTCATCGGAGAGGACCACAGGCAGGTGGTTGGCGAGTACGGCACCTTCGATGCCGGCGATAACGCGGCTCGCAACGTCTTCCTCCCGATCGACCACGGCGATGGTACTAACCCCGAGGTTGAGCTCGATCAGCCCTACCCCGGTATCTTCATCTACCGCTTCTCCGAGGGCTTCAACTACCCGAACGCCAGCCACTCCCTTGAGTATTTCACTGAGTACGTCTTCGAGCGCACTCGCCGCACCAACCTCCAGAGCTACGGTCGCCTCGGAGACCGACCCTGGAACGACCCCGGCCCGTCCCGCAAGGCTTCGAAGGCCGCTGCCCAGATCGCTGCTTCCGAGAGCAAGCCCACGCTCAAGGCAGTCATCCTTGACTTCAGCTGCGTCAACAACGTCGATCTCACCTCCATCCAGCAGCTCATCGACGTCCGTAACCAGCTTGACCGCTACGCCGCGCCCGACAAGGTCAACTGGCACATCGCTTGCATCAACAACCGCTGGACTAAGCGCGCCCTCGTCGCCGCAGGCTTTGGATACCCAGCCGACCGCGGCGACGGCCTGCAGCACCGCTGGAAGTCCATCTTCAGCGTCGCCGAGATTGGCGGTGCTGAGTCGGCTGCGGCGGTCGCGGAGAAGGAGGCCAACGAGAAGGAGATCTCGTCCCACGCCAGGAACTCCCGACACGCGGACGAGGAGTCTGGTAAGAGCGGGGCCTACGACGCCATCGACCCCGTGTCATCTACGGGCTTGCATCACGAGCGCGGTACGAGGGGCCTGGCTGCCAAGAGGAGAGGTGTCGTGGTTCACGGCCTGAACAGGCCGCTGTTCCACGTCGACTTGACGAGCGCGCTGCAGAGTGCCATCGCCAACAGCGAGGGACGCGGAGAGGTTGAGCCGGGCCCGAAGAGCCCGGACACTTCTAGCGAGTAAAAAGGGATGGTTTCTTCTGGAATACTGGATTAGCGATTGATACCCATGTTGGGAAACATTTGTTAGATTGGTGTGGATGAATCATGAAAAAGAGGTGGTGCTTAGGTTTATCAGAAAGCACACACTCAGACGTTGTTCTTGTTATTTACGCTTTGTTTGCTTGTATGTAGAGCTTTGTGCTCGAGATATTCAGCATAATATCAAATGGTCTTGCTGAATTTGGTTCTGAAATGCTCATGTGACTGATGCAATGTAGTTGTGGCTTCCTAGCATCCTTGGGCTCGCAGGTCACAACAGACAGCCCTAGCCACCTTGGCAGGTCGCTTGTGACTACTACAAATCTTCTACAAGCGTACTGCGAGAAGAACAACAATGCACGATGCCAGCATGCCTGTGCTGGTTTTCATGCTATTGGGCACTGTGATGACAAAGACACCGTTGGTTGCGTGGTGGCTTGAATAGATCCCGTTGAAGGAGATGGGCCAACCGTTCCGCTTCTTTCCGTCTTCCCAGGCGCCAGAGTATTCAGGCGTGGACTCAAGAGTCTTGCGTCTTGTTCTCTTCGGTCGCTGCTTGGCAGTGGTGTTTCAGTGACGGTGGTAGGCGCAAGATGGAGCGGACGTTCCCCGGCCGTTCTCTGCATCCTGAACCATGAGGAATTCAGAGAACCTCGTATTCTCTTCTGAAGGGCTATGTTGTTCTGCCCCATAAGATATTTATCTTGCACTAACTGCTTGAGTAGTATATTTTACAACATCACAACTCTTCTACTTCAGGAACCAAGCCAACCGATGTGTCGGTCTCGCTCATTCTTTGGGTCAAGGCGAACTCCGACCCTGTTGCCCGTACAGAATCGGACTACTGTCCTGTAAGCTCGCATGCTGCGTCAAGAAATACAGCGTGCGTCCTCAATTTTAATCATTGCTGTCTGCCGATTATTGCGGTGCTTGTGATACTTGACAATGAGGTTCAGATACTGCGGCTGTGATTGGTCAGTAGCGATGAGCACAGCAAGTAGCCCGGGACAGTGGGGATGAACACGTCCAGGCTTTCTTCAGCAGTGGCAAAACGGACGCAGAAGTTCGAATTTGTCGTGGAAAGGGCTTGTGAAATCGTCTTCCGAGAGTGCCGGAATTTCGTGGAGAATATTGAAACCGTAGGAGGCGAGGAAGCAGCTGAGTCGGGGCGTGCGTCAACCAGGCTTAATACGAATCAACCCCTTAGACGAGGTGCTTGGCGTCTCTGCGGACGTCAATGACTCAGGCTCGTTCAACTCCTGCGATTCGGAGTGAACTGCAGGCGATATACCAGTTTGACTTGGGCGAGTTGGTGGTGTCGATTTCCCGGAGTTCCTTCTCACTGCGACTGAGGAGGCTGCAGAACTTGACTTCGCCATCCTAATTGCCTGCAACAGCACCGAGGCCCTCAAAATGGGAGTCAGAATGTGGGGTTAGTTAAAATCAAGGAGAGTTGTAAACCCAAGGTACTCTTCTCCCCAGGCATGTATGTCGTCTGATTTTAGAAGGACGATTAATCGATAATCTGGATAAGCTTTGTGTCACGTAAATGATTGAGTAGTTCATGTACGCAATTGCCACCAAACGCTACAGAGATTGATTAGATTTTCTACTTTTAAGGTATGATTTGATTGATTGTATGAGTCAGTTTTGTTACTCTGCGACTGTAAGAGTACTTGACAATCTGATACCGTTCAATCTAAAAGAAAGTTAAAATCAAAATCAAAACTCGTTCCAATATATTCCATATCTTAAGTCACCTGCCGATGCAAGGATTCAATTGGGGTACTTAAAGATATCAGTATAGCCGCTTAATAGTCATATCCACGGCCGTGTTACTGTTTCCCACCATTCGACGATCATTGCGTTAGTCTCAGAAGCAATCGACTGTCCCGATCACATCAAATTTGCACCTCAGCTATGCGCTTCTCACTCCTTGCCATCGCAGCCGCGGTCTGCGTCTCTTCAACCGCGGCAGAAGTATTTCTACAAATTGGACAGGCGTGCGCCTCAATCGGAGATCCTTCTGTTCGTACCATCGTCCCTGGCCGTCTACATGATGTAGTTTTACTGACCATGCTGCTCTTGCAGTGGGAGTCTAATTGCAATGCTGCCGACTCAGACAGGTGCGCAAGCTTATGCGATGGCAGGGTGAGTATTCCACCACTTGTTGTTGAATCAAGGCTTGAAGTTCCTTCGCTTACAAGATTGTAGTGCCAAAGTGGTGACAGTGGACGATGGATGGCTACTCCGAAGGGCGACTGCGACTGTTACTGCAACTAGCGAGTGCACGCATGGCAAAAGGTTCCCGTTGAGCCATGGCTTATTGCTCCTGTTGTAGACTTAGTATATGTTAAAGCCTTGAGAAAATACCCCAACTTGTTACATCTAGCTACCCACGGCGTGTGCTGTACAACACAGTAACAAGAGTCGCCGGCGTGGTGCATCCAATTCCAGCCTTAGCTTGTTTGGGCTACAATATCCCCTCAGCCCAGGGCCGACCCAAAGAGGCTGAGGCTATACACGAACGGGCTAGCAGGTAATAATTGCGTGCAAGCTGCAATTTGGTCCTATTTCGAGACACTGAAAGAGGTTGTAGAGGCTTGCTAAGCCGGCTGTCTTGAGATTCTCCTGAATAGATCCCTCTAACTAGACGCTGAGAATCATAGTACTATCCTATAAGCTCGCATGCTATATAAAGAAATAGAGCGCACGTTCTTAATTATTATTACTACTATTTACTGATTATAGCTTATAATAAGGTTTAAGGCAGCTATAAAGGGCGTAGCAAATACTATGAGATAGTAGAGATGAATAGGACTAAGCTATAGCAGATAAAGACAGACGCAGAGGTTGAACTTCATTTGAGGCAATGCGTGTGCAACTATAACGTAGCCTAGGATGATCCTGTCCACTATGCCTCTATATGCCCCTTCCCTTCCACAATCTTTCACATACGACCATACCCACTGGAAAACTCGGGATCCCGTCCGCTCTCCCATAGATAAGCTAGTGAGGGACAGAGTAGTAGTCGGGTCGGTGACGACCGGCGAATGCCTGTTGTTGTATGTTTTTTGCCATTTTTTTGTCCTCGTTAGAGGTGGATGTGGAGGCTATCACGATACGTGTGGTTGGCGACGATTCTTTCCCTCGCAAAAGCCTCGAGAATGTCAACATGCTTTGATCAAGCGTCAGCGTAAATTGTACCAGCTTCCTGTTTAGTAGCAAAGAGAACTAGCTAGCATTTAAACAAGACTGCAACTGCCTACCGCCTTTGACAAGTGTAGAGGATCGACGGTGCCAACTACAGAATAGCGAGTGTATCAGAAAAGCTTGATGCGACAACTCTGGCCTACTTTAAAAATAAAATAAAAAAAATGTTTAATTTGTCCAAGTTGAACCCAGTCCCGGTTGCGAGAAACTAAAAGAGGTCGTGGAGGTTCGCCAAGCCCGCTGCCTCGAGATTCTCCTGAATCGACCCCTCCAACTGGACGCCGAACGGCCCTGTCTCAAGCGGACAGTAAATATCCTTTCCGCAAATCGTGTCCTGGAAATAAGACTTGACAACCCCATAAGCACACAAATTGTTCGGTGCCGTACCAGTGTGCTGTGCCAACATTAGCCTATATGATTAACGACAAGATGCCAGATCAAACTTACACCCATACCCTCGATGGTGAGTCTTCTCGCATTCTTGAAGCTCGGGGCGTTCGAAATAGCACTGCAAAGGGAGTAAGCAAGACAAATAACCACCACTCGAGGGACCAGTAGACTTACTTCTCAATGGGCGTCGTCGGATCAAACGTGTTGCTCACAAACAACACCCTCCCCTTCGTCTCCCCTCCATACGGACCCGTAAACACATTATCGCTCTTGATCTTCCAACCCGTACAGCCCAGCGTGAACCTGATCCATGTCTCCCCGATGACGCTCTGCCCCTCGAGCTGGTCAACCAGTTCCCGTATCTCCTCCAATCCCTTGCCGTACTGCTTGTTCTCCTGGTCAGAGCAGATCACGCCGAGCCCCTGCTCCGGGCTCGTCGCCGCATACGACGTGACCCCCGGATCCCCAATCAACCCGTTGACCTGCTCCGTCCACTGTCCCAGGACACCGCCCTCCAATGCCTGCTCCAGCCCGACGAGTGCCTCCGCCACGGGCCCAAACATCTCCAGCGGCTGCACCGCCATGCTCAACATCCCGACCTTGAACGTCAACAGCGCCGCCGCGATCTCGCTACTATTCCCCCACCCCTCCGCCGTCGCCCTCCCCGCGTCCAGCCTCTCAAACGACGCCTTCCACCTTGAAAAGATGTCCATCGCCGTCGTCCCCGTGTAATACGCACACGCCTCCGGCCCCGCGGCGTGACAATACACAAAGAACGCGCCCACAACACCATCCAAATGGTTCACACTCCGCCACGTCCCGTTCGCCTGGAACGCCGCCGGATCGACCACCCCGTCCAGCACAACATGCCCCACGCGGTCCGGGAACATGCTCGCGAACGTCTGCCCGAGGAACGTGCCGTAGCTGATGCCGTAGTAGTTCAGCAGGCTAGCATTAGCCGCCGCACGCGCTCCATCGGGCGTCTGCGCGAAAGCGTCCACGATGCTGAGCATGTCCCGCGCCGTGACCGCCGTGGTCATGTGCCTCCCCGCCCCCGTCGGCCCGCCGGCCTGCTCCGCGCACTGCTCCCCGAGCGCCCTGCCGAAGTCGATGAAGGATTGGAAGTACGCGTCCTGCAGCCTCGGCGCCTCCCTGGTCTGTTGTGTCTGAGCGGCGAGGATCCCCGCGGAGCAGTTCGGCCGCGGCTCGCTGAGCCCGATGCCGCGCGGGTCGAAGCCGACGATGTCGTAGTTGGTCCCGATGGCCTGGGCGATCAGGGCACCGTTCTGGCTGATGAGCTCGATGCCTGAGCCGCCGGGGCCGCCTGGGTTGGCGAGGATCATGCCGCGGTAGGGCCCGTCCGGGGAGGAGGGCGCCGCGGGGAGCCTGATGAGCGGGACGGTGGCGCGGGCGAGTTCCGGGTTGAGGTAGTCCAAGGGTACCTGGTGAGAAAGGGAGTTAGCAGGTGAGGATGTGAGGGGGTGGGTTTTGGGTTGCGGACATCGAGTTTGGCGCAGAAGTAGTCGCCTTCGCATTGGCACCAGACGAGGTCCTGGGAGGGCGTGATTGAGTCGAAGGTGCAATTCTGCGCTCTCGTCACGGTGGCGACTGATGCGAGCACCGCGGTTAGGGCCCCGGATCTCATAATTCAAACGATTGTGGTATTCTTGTTGAAACGAATGTGAGTAGTAGGGTCTGCTGTTGGCCGAGATCTACCCATCGACGTGGTAGATCTCCCCTCGTCTTATAGATCATCTTCAAGACAATCCTGCCGTAGAGCCTTAGACAACCTCGCCCTCAGCTCAGAGCCCGTCGCCTCATAATGATATCCCTTGCATGTCAACGTCACCGACGTCAAACTTCCAGTCACTCTCCTGAGTCCATCTCTCTGGCATTCTGGCAGGATCGTGAACCTGGAAGGAAAAGAGAGAGAAAAGCCCCCAAAACACGCAGAAACAAGTCAAATGTTGATATTGAACATCGTAAAGGTGTCTCAAAAGGAGGCTGTGAAGTAGAAAACGCGCTAAAACCTGTGCATAGCCTCAGTGGTGGTAGCATTCCGGGAATGCATTTCGCGGGGTCCCGGCCAATCCAGGCACCAGTCTCGTATTCTCAAAGCGTCAGTATCTCGATAATTTCCCCCGCGAGGGGTTTGCATGAAATTAGACAGCTAAAGAAGGTGAAATCGTGGGCGTTGCACAGCCCATCTACGCCAAGAAATCTAAAGACCTTGATTACGCCCGGGGAACCCAAACACGATACAGCCCGCCTGTCGAGCAGACGAGGAAACGAATGAAATATGTACACACAAACACAACCACACTAATCGTCACAGTTTCCTTTGCTCACATGGGTCGGCCATCATACACAACGCCATAAGGCACAGTCTCAATGTCCCCGTGACAAGCGCGTTCGTAGTCCGCGAGCTTGGGCATCTCCTCCTGCACCTCCAAGAACGTGTCCAGCTCGCACCAGCCGTCCTTCCGCTCCGCGTCGCACTCGGGGAAACTCCACCCCAGCGGCAGCGTCCTCTGGTTGAGCACGAAGTGGATGTACTTCGTCTCGCCTCCGGACTCCTCGTACCCGGAGCGGTCGGCCTTGAACGGCTTCGGCGTCTTGATGATCTCGATGTCGAGGCGCGCGCCAAAGGGCGTGATGTGCGAGACGGTGAAGTTGTGCTTGCCGGGGTACTCCGTGGGCTGGAGCAGCTGGGCGAACTGCTTGAAGCCGAACGCGGTCAGGATGGAGGCGATGTTTGTGTCGTGGGAGAAGTCGAAGTAGAGGCTCTGGTTCAGGGGGAAGGTCTCCGTGTTGTTGTCGAGCGTGACGTTGATTTGGGAGCCCGAGTAGCCTAGGGTGTGGTTCTGGAGGCGGGCAATGACCTCTTGTTGCCAGCCGATACCGACGGCGCGCTGCGTTTTGTCAATACACACGATCCAGTCAACCAAGCGTGACAATGACTTACTCCTGTGGGGTTCTGGAAGGCATTGTTGCCAGCAAAAGCAAGATCGACAGAGTACGAAAAGCCAACCCATTCCTCGTACGTGAAGAGGTCGCAGAAGCGGCTGAACCCGTAGGCGACCGTCTCATACGGACACATCGTCTGCGCGGCATAGGTGTCCTCAATCGTCCAGTCAAAGCCGTCAACCATGTCCTGGAGACGGGCTGTGGCGTTGGCGAGGTAGTTCGAGACCCAGATCTTGGCCGCCTCGTCGCCGCCGTTCTGCTTGCGGGCGTTGGGGCAGTTGAGGTACCCGGCGAGGGAGTTGTTGGCCCTGTCCTGCTCGATGATGACTTCGATGGTGGCGTTCCTGGTCCACTCCAGGCCGAAGAAGCCCGCGAGCCAGTACTCGGCAGACTTGAGCATTCTGTCTTGCGTCTACAGGTGCGTTAGTCATTTAAGAGGATTGTGCAAACAGGTGCTGAGCATACCGTCGTCCGCACAATGATCTTGCTGTTGGGGTTGTACAGCGAAGAGTACATGTACGAGTGCAAGATGCCAGAGTCAAACAACTCCTGACGACCCTTGGGGACAAGAATCTCATGGCCCAACTGATACCTCCAGTTGTTCAGGAAGCTCAGCGCGCCCTTCGCCTTGAGCGTGTCACTTGCCTTGGCAACCTTTTGTCCAAAGTCAAAGACGTTGGAGCCCATCGTGGGATATCTGGACCCGTGGCGAG